TGTATATGTTATGTTTCCTGCTTCGTATCCTGTAGATCTGGGCCCAAAATATAGTTCTTAGACTCTATAAGATAATTGCCATTTAATTGATAGCACTTTTCTTAGTATATAAGATGTTCCTCGTGGACAATCTTCTCGGTAACCTGTATGTTTATGTTACCTTGGAAACTGTTAGTAAAATTCTCCATTCCTTTTCTCACGAGGCCGAGATTACAATTGGTACAATCTCAGTTTTCATTCCCCACATCATGCTAATCTCGATCTTTTGAAGTTGGGCATTTTTTCATGGAGTTGTTTCTCGCTGCTATGTCAATAAACATACACTTCCGGAATTTCTTGTCTTTTATGATAATAACCGGTCTATTGGATTTTATTTCCCTGTCAGTTTGAATTGACATGTCCCAGAGGATAGTTACATCGTTATTTTGTGTAAATGTGTCTAGTTGGTGCTCATACCATCACTCAGTGGTTTCGATTTTGTGTTTCTCGCATATCTTCCAGGACACATATGTCCCTATCTTATTATGTTTGTGACTATACTCATTTTTGGCTAGTTCCGGACATCCTGAAATAATATGGTCGACAGTTTCATCATTTTTTTCCGCAGGTCCTGCATTTTGGGTTAGTTCCATCCTTGATTATGTTACAGTAAGAGGATCTGGTTGGAAGGCTTTGGCCCTGAGCTGTAATAATTTATTATTATTATTATTATTATTATTATTATTATTATTATTATTATTATTTCCTTTGATTTCTGTTGTATACTCATTTCCTTCCGGGTCCCAACCAGAGACCTAAGATCAGAAATTGTATCTTTTCTACTGAGCATTTTTGTAAAAAACAACATAAGATTACGCATATTTTACATAGATAAAGCTCTTCGTAAAGAGTGATATGTACTTGCGAGCACATTTATTGTGTTTCTTTAATTCTTAGGCTAGTAGCGATCCCTTCAATGAGTCTATTGGAACATTTTCCAATCAATCAAAGGGTCCCAACTAGAACTAGATTATTGATATCCTCAGGTGCCAATTTTTTAAATTTCCACATCAAGATCATTGTATTTTGATAGTCGTTTTTGAAGATCATCAAAGACACATTACAGACTGCAGGGACGACCATATCAATAAGAAGGCACAATCTGTTTTCTTGGTCTCTGATCATTATGTATGGGTGATTCGATTTCATTGTTCTGTCAGTGTGTATTGTATAGTCCCATATTATTTCCAAGAGCGAGCTAGTGGTCATTGCTAGTGATTCTAATGGTAATATTCAACAAATCTCCATCAATCTTCTAAGAATCCTCTCAATACAAGAAAAGCTGTAATATGGTTGATTTGCTTGGGTTTATTATGTTTTACGGCATATCGACACCTCAATGGGTTATTTAATGCCGACAAGAGTTTTAGGATGGGTTCGTATGAAGAGAATATGTGTCCTTTGTAAGAAATCAGTTTCTAGATCAGGATCTATTGACGTATTTTCTTAAAAAAGGATTTTGTTGAGAGAAAAATCTATTGCTGATGATATATATATATATATATATATATATATATATATATATATATATATATATATATATATATATATATATATATTGGAGGTAATATTTCTTTGCTAAAATGCATTGCTGGTGATGTTTTTTTTTTTTGCTTGGCATAAATGATCACCTAAGTGTATATTTAGATCTTTTGCGAATATCTATACTGATGGCACAACGATATATGGGCGCACTTCCAAAAGTCTAGATGACCAGCGATTGGTAACTGATTTTTCCGTTGGTCTAGCTCTAATAGGTCATTCGTGTATGCCTGGTTTTCAAGAATGTGGGTGAGCGCTCATCCCTTTCACAGTACAAACCCTTCAGTCTCAACATTATCACCAGCAAACTATTTGAATCTATAATCAACAAGAAGGTTGTTGATTACCTCAATAGGTACAACCTCCTGAGCGACAATCAGTATGGATATCGATCTGCCCTGTCCACTGCTGATATCGTAACTGTGATTATTCACAGAATTCACAAATGCATTTCAATTACCGTTGCATTAGATATTTCAAAGACCTTTGACAAGGTGTGGAATAAGAGGTTACTGCTCAAACTCACTAGCTATGGAGTCAGTGGAAGAGTTTTCTCAGTTATAAAGTCTTTTTCTAACTGGTAGGTCCCTGAAGGTCAATGGTCAGTCTTCTCAATCCCAGGCGATCAACGCGGACGTCTTCCAAGGTTCGCTTCTCATTCCAACCATCTTACTCCTCTACATAAATGATCTGCATAAGAATATACTCCGATCATTTGTGAATGTTTATGTTGATGACACATAAAAATTGTTTATATAGCCGAATGTAATTCATTTGCACAGTCCCAGTATATGCCTGTTCCTACCCTATCATACATACTTTTATATTTTTTTGAGCCAGTCTGCTTTGTCCTGGTAGGAATTTATTTTTTATCTTTTTGTAGAGACAATTTCTTACATTTCCTTGTCATGTGTCCATATCTATATATTCAGAAAAGTTGCACCAAAAACAACAATAATTTAACATATTTTTTGCCTTTCGTTTCGTTATTGTTATCATAGATTCTTCTTGTGGAACTCACTTCCGGCTTCTTGCTTTCCTATCAACTTCTTCTTCTTCTTCTTCTTCTCCTCCTCCTCCTCCTTCTTCTTCTTCTTCTTCTTCTTCTTCTTCTTGCCGTATCCATTGAAAACGTTGACTATCCACAATTCCCAGTCATCTTTCTTCAGTTTTCTTTTATAGATTTTCTGTTTTTTTTTATTTTAATCTATAAGTTGCTTCATATTTTTTTCTTCCTTTTTTCCTTTTTTTTCCTTTCTCCTGTTGTTTTCCCTTTCGCTTTTTGCCTTATAATTTCTTTCATTTTTCATTCTTCCGTCTTTCATTTCTTTCCTTGTTGACCATTTTCTTTATTTTCTCTCCTCTTTCTCCTTTTCCTTTCACCTCATAATATTCGTCATTGTTTTTTTTTCTTCTTTCGGTTTATTTTCATTATCTTCTTTATCCTTCTTTCTCTTTCTAGCTCTTAATAAATTTTGATTTTTTTTGTTATCTCACCTAAACTTGTTCCGCTATCCATTTTCTCAATCTCGCTAAGTAGTTAATGCCTTGTTTCTTTCTGTTCTGTGAGTATCAAATTTACCAAACCCTCTTTCCTACGTGTCCTAAAAATCCCCAATTGTCTCTTCCTGATGCTAATTATAACGGTCTTTTTTGTTTCCATTTTCTGTTGCTTCACGTCTCTTTTTTGTGAGCTATTCCCTGCCATATAAGAGGACTGATATTAGGTAACTGTTTAGTACTCTTTTCTTTGTTTCTAACAAACTTTTTATGTTTCTTAATATGATCCTTATCTTTTGAAAGGCATCTTCCTATATCCCAATGCTCCCTCGCACTTTCTGACGTCCGTGTTAAAACACTTCCCTGATATTTAAATTATTGTACGTGTTTGATTTTGTTATCTCCAATTTGTAATTTGTATGTTAAATTAAAAAAATAACAGCCATGCTTTCATTTCTCGTGTCCTTGACTTTATTCCGTTCTACCCTGTCTTGAAACCGGTGTTTCCCATTTGTGTCTTTTCCATTGGTTAACCATCTGATATAACTGTTAAAGGTACAATCTCCAAAAGTCTAGATTAGATCTTTGGCACATACTTCAAAGTACTCACCCACTAAGTTGTAATCGTTGGGTAATCGGCAGGTGTCAATATCGACTTCTGTTGAACAAGTATCATGCGAATTCACAGGGAGAGTTTGAATAATAAAAAAAAAAACTGTTCAGTGGAGAGAGCTTTTAACGATGTTTCATTTGAAATAGCTTCCTTTATAATTGCCTATGTACAGATGTCGACTTTCTGCTTCTTTCAAATCATTAAACGAACAAAAAGAGCCAAAAAGAAAGATGTTCAGTTGTTTTATTACAGTAAAAAAAAATCTGTTGAAGTGCTTACTAAATACAGGATCTCAAATTTGGCAGTACTTCTCTGTTCTCATTCAAAATAAAATGAAAACCAATTTCTTCATTTCAGTTATTTTTCTTCTTGTTCTTGCTTTTAGCTTGTTTTTTATTCTTCCTTTAGATGTATTTCTCTTGCATTTTTTTTTATTTCCTTTTTTTTATTTACTTTTTCCTTATTCTCTCTTTTCTCTTTTTGTTTTTTTTTTCTCTCGTGCCTTTTTTCTTTCTTGTTAATGTTTTCTTTATTTTCTTCTCATTTTCTTTCTTTTTAGCCCGCTTATTTTTTCCGTTTCGCCTTTTCGATCTTACCTTATTTCATTTTCTTTCTTTCTAATGACTTTTTTCTCTCGTCACCCTTCATATCTTTCTTAATTTTTCTTTTATAGATTTTCTGTTTTTTTTTATTTTAATCTATAAGTTGCTTCATATTTTTTTCTTCCTTTTTCCTTTTTTTTTTTCCTTTCTCCTATTGTTTTCCCTTTCGCTTTTTGCCTTATAATTTCTTTCATTTTTCATTCTTCCGTCTTTCATTCTTCCGTCTTTCATTTCTTTCCTTGTTGACCATTTTCTTTATTTTTTTTCTTCTTTCTCCTTTCCCTTTCACCTCATAATTTTCGTCATCGTTTTTTTTCTTCTTTCGGTTTATATTCATTATCTTCTTTATCCTTCTTTCTCTTTCGTTTCCAAACTCGTTTCCCTTCGATCATTTTTCTTCTTTTTGTCATTCTTTTTTTGGCAGTGTTTTTTTTCTCTAATTTTTTCCTTTTTTCTTCCTTTTATTGTTTTAATAAATTTTGGCCTTATTCACTTATCGAATTTATCTCCCCTTTTTCAATTTTCTTTTCTTGCTTAATTTCTTTTTTTTTTTTTTTGTATCCGGGATTTACTTTTTTAGTCAGTTTTAGTTTTCTTTAATTTTTCTCATTTCATTACTTTTGCTTTCCTTTAATTATCTTGGCTCGTTTTATGAAAAGTTTTCTTCTTTCAATTTCAACGCTACCCCCCTTCTTGATATTTTGATGTTTTCTTTTCCTCCTGTTCCATCTCTTTCTCTGTAGTTTCTACATTTAAAAAGGATTTTGTTTTTAGTTTTTCTTTCTTTTGTTTCCTTTTACCTTTTCTTTATGTACTTTCATCATTTCTTGAATTACTTTTCCTTCTTTCTTCTTTTTCTTTTTCTTCTTCTTCTTTTACCTTTTCACTCTTTGCTTTTCTTTCTTTTTTCTTTCTTCCTTTTTCTTTTGCTTTTTTAAATTTTAATTTTGTTTTTATTTTATTTTTTCTTTCTTCCCTTCATATATTAAACATTCTTCTTTCTCTTTTTTTTTCTTTCTTTCTTTTTTCCTGTTCTCGATTTCTCTTCTCTATCTCTATTTCGACCTTCTTTTGTCTGTCAATATTCTTTTTATTCTTTTTCTTTCATTCTTTGGTCTGTTCCACCTTCCCCCCGCCCGCACTGTACTTTGTCTATCATCCGCTTTTCTATCTCTTGGATAACCTACTCGCATTACGAGCAAAACTTGAAGACAACAACGACAGCACCCACAGTCTTTGTAATTCTTAGCGATATCAAAAGAATCGAACATTAAAGGAAGAATTCTTCATGTCTTTGAGGCATAATAAGATCCTCCGAGTAAAGCTGGATTCACATACAGGAAACAAACATGGTGAAAAATCCGATATGCCATGATTTTTTTTTCTATAGAGGAGCTAAATGGGCCAACGCGAGGTGGGGCTTGCTCTCTAAATGGACTTGGAATATTCCAATAAATAATAATATCCACATATGTTTGGACTTAAGCAAGTGTGAAAACATTAGATCAAAGGAGACGAATCTTTTGAAGATTAGAAATTGGTCAGTAACCTAAATATCTAGCAAGATAAATACGTGACCCTTTGGGATGAGTTTTTCGTTGTTAAGATTGATTGACTGATATGTTGTTTTTTTTTTTTATTACGGTGTCCCTGATATATCATTATACCGCGCGAAAATGACTCCTCTGCGCGACAAACATTAGCCAATGCCTAAATAGCTGATTTAAAAATGAATACGCACTTGCATTGTATACAACTAATTGGCGGGCGTCTTGTTTAAATGTCTTTTATTCAAAACCAGCAGAATTAGAATTTCAAGCCAGAGTCTTTAATCCGTCAGTTTTTAATCAATATCTGTTCATATCATAACGCTGAACACAATATCGTATATATGTTTGGTAATGGCAAACATACTGTCAATTTTCTTTTTGTTCCCTAAACAATCGAGGTTTTGGGCAATGTCTTATTGTCGTTGGTCAGATCTGGAAAGTTGATCTGATTAAGAAACTTTCAACCTCTCTTAATATATATATATATATATTATATATATATATATATATATATATATATATATATATATATATATAATTGCTTCTGCCGAGATCAAAAAGGTTGGATATCCTACCCCTAAGCTATCGGCGTACAGCAGAGATAAAGAGAAATTCTAAGGTATTTTATACGAATTTAAACAAACACCAGTAGCCAACAGTGTTCAATTCCTTGATGAAGAACGGTGCCTTAATAGTGGTGAACGGCCATTGTTTTGGAATTACCTTTTTCTCAACAGTGCAGGATCGAATAGACAAGAGCTTGCTTTTTAATGTATTATACACACACACACACACATATATACGTGTACGTGTGTGTGTGCGTGTACGTGTGAGTTTAAGTAATTTAGACGTATTATGTCTATTTATTGTAAATTTAGTCTTTTCAAGTCCACGGATTAATTTTTTGGCAGCTGTTGAAAATCGATTAAGAAAAATTTTTAAAAATTCTTTCAAATATTTTTTCAATCTCTTCTGGGACCATCTTCAGGACTTGCTTAGCGGCAGATGTGTTATGCATTACCACTGTAAATACAAAATATTTTGTTTAACTCTATTAAAACTAAAATAGATTATCTTAATCTATTTTAGTTTTAATCATTTCATAAAGGTCTATATTATTTAACCAGTCTAAATTATTTAACCAGATGCTTGAATGAAAATATGCAGCCTATATATATATATATATATATATATATATATATATATATATATATATATATATATATATATATATATATGTGTGTGTGTGTGTGTGTGTGTGTGTGTGTGTGTGTGTGTGTAGTGTTTGTGTGTCATGTAGACTGGGTTACATCTGTTATTCGTGTACATTTGTGGATAGCCTGTCTTCAACGTTTAACGTTTGTAGTAATGAGTTAACTGAGAACTGTTTCGTTTAATAATGGCAGAATATTCATATCGTGAGCAGGCAGATATGATTTTTACACATGGCTGAGCGAATGGTAATGGACGCGAGGCTGCACGGCTGTATCTGATTGCTTTTCCAGTCCAAAGGTAACTGAGTCATCCAGATTTTGCTGCTGTTTTTCGTCGCGTTGCTGAGACAGGGTCCGTGGCACCACAAAATATGGGTCGATGTAGACAGAGATCCGCCCGTACGCCTGACCACGAAGTATATTAGCACATGTCAAGTGGCCCTAACAATTCATATATTTCCTAGTACCGCATGGAGGGTACTTCAAGATCAACTCCTCTATCCGTATTATTTGCAATGTGTGTGCGGTCTTTCGCCCTCTGAACTTTTGCTGATGATTTATTGCACAAACTGCCGGTCCGTTGTTTGTCAATTCAGTCTTGTTTACCGATGAGGTAATTATTTTACGCAACCAATTAATTGAGTTAACTGAGAAGTGTTCCATTTAACAGTGGCAGGATATTCATATCTTGAACAGGCTGATATAGCCACGCGAATGGTAATGAACGCGAGGCTGCACGGCTGTATCTAGTTGCATTTCCAGACCGAAGACAGCTGAGTCCTCCAACCTTTGTTTTGTGTCGTCGCATTGTTGGGACATGATCCGTGACACCGCAGTCTTGTACGCTTGACCACGAAGAACTCATTCTACAGTCTGTCAGAGACAATCCAGCTAACAGCACACGTCGTGGCCCTAGCATGTCATACATCTCATAGTACCGCTTGGCGGGTACATCAAGAGCAGCACCTGTATCCGTATCATTTGCAACGTGTGAAGGATCTTTCGCTCTCTGATCACTGACCACGGGAAAACTTTTGTCGATGGTTTATTGCACAAACTATCGATTCATTGTTTGTCTCTTCAGTCTTGTTTATGGATGAGGCAACATGTTTAGGCTGGAATTGTAGGTGACTGTCTTACAGAAGCTGAATGCATGGAATTTGTTTTCGAACACACTTCCAGACCTGCTAGAGGATATATCCCACTAATAAGAAGACGTATGTGGTTCATGCATGATGGAAGTCCAGCCATTTTAGTCACATTGTTCGCGATGCCCTGGTTGACATCTATCATGACACACGGGTAGGTAGGAGAAGACTTGTTCCATGGTCTTTAAGTTATATCTGTACTCAACTATTTACATTTTTTTTTATCTCTGTGGCCAACTAAAATAATAAGTTTATGCAGAAGACAGTAAAAGACAGAAACGCTACACCAACGTGTCATGGCTGCCTGCGAAACCATTCGACACCGTGTGGGAGTACTTGAAAGAATCAGACAGTCAGTGATCTGACAGGTGCGCGCGCGTGTGTGTGTAGAAGCAAGCAGAGGACATTTTCAACGTTTATTATTCGGACTATTGTCTTCATCTTTTGTCGTTATATTTATTACAACGTTTCGGCCATTGTACGCTCCGGCTTTCTTCAGGTAGTTGGACTGTCGAACTGAACTCTTTATTTCGCTTACTGGGGTAGACTATTCTAGTTCCACGTGCCATGTTTAATGGATGTTAGTTATCTCCTGTTAATTTCCCCCTGAAAGTTCTCCACTGCCTTAACCGGGTATTGAAATGAATACAATAGGGGAACCAGTAATAAGGAGTACCAGAGAAAAGCGATAATAACAACAAAAATTGCAATATGCGCTCTGGTAAAAAATGCAAGGATAACAGCAGAAATTGCAATGCGAGCACATTTTCATTTTTCAAAACACGGTCAAGGTATTGTGTCCATGTTCAAAGTTAATATTATTATATGTTGTTTTTTTTTGTTTTATCATAGTTTTTTTTGTTTTTATTATATTTTATTATAAACATTTTATAAACCATATATACAAAATATATTTTATTATAAACATTTTGTTATGTATTTATTATATTTGTTATATTATATAATAAACATTTTATAAAACATACATCCAACAAAATATTTCTTATTTAACCGTTAAAATATTTAATCCTTGAAAATGGCTAAATGTATAGCCGAAAGCGCTCGGATAACAAGAACATTCGGACAGTTTTTATATAATTTATCATCCGAAAAGAAAAAAAAAATTAGATTGCATGAGAAATTGTATAAAAAACTAAATAAAAGTGCCTTTGTCTGTCGTATTCAATTATATATATATATATATATATATATATGTGTGTGTGTGTGTGTGTGTGTGTGTGTGTGTGTGTGTGTGTGTGTGTGTGTATTTATACGGAGTTTAATAGGAAAATGTCCAAATGTTACTGTTTAATTGTTCCCACAAAATGCTAATATATCTAAAAAAAAGACTCACTACACTAAGTGAGTTTTTTTTTCCGGATTTCCAGATAAGACGTTTAGCCATCTTGACACCATTTGTCGTAAGAATCACTGAAAGATCCTTTGAGCTATTCAGCTTGGAAGAGAACGGGTTAAAATCGTTTTATATCAGACTGACTGTCTCCGAAAATGAGCCATAGTGAGAGGAAAAATATCATTCACGCCTTCAGTAAGGATACAAACTTCCATACTCTGGCATTTATATTCAAAGTCTATTCAGGCGCCATCGAGAGAACTGTAAATAAGTTTTAGAAAAAAGGGAAAACTAGAGAGGAAAACTGGATCAAGAGATCACCATAGGAAGAAGAATCATCGTTTCAACTTAGAGCTAAACAGATTAATTCAACTCATTTCATAACACATTTAGTATGTGAAAAAGAGCAGTGAAAAAGACATTGTAAGTGAAACGTGGGAGGAAACTTGTTACAACAGGATAGAAAGTTAGAAGGTTAAAGTGGGCGAAGATCATCATGAATGTTTGAAAATGATCCTAGAATAAGAATATATATATTTGAACGTTATTTCAGTAATTCATGATTATCCGATCCTGAGCTATGCTTAATTAATTATGAACATGTTATTTTCGTTTATGATCGATTTCATCACGATATTTCTGTTAAGTTTAGAGAGTAGTTATACATTCTTATTGCACAAAATAGATTTCAATAGTGTTAAAAGAACCACGGAGAATTCCAGTAAGAAATCTTTAATCATTTCTAATGTACAACTGTTCAGAGCTTAATCTAACAATTGGACAATTTTGCTGTCAGACGATTTATACAATTTTGCTGTTAAACCGAGCATATATATATATATATATATATATATATATATATATATATGTGTGTGTGTGTGAGAGAGAGAGAGAGAGAGAGAGAGAGATTCAAACTGATAAAGATGTTACCGTAACTTTTTTTACAATATTAAAAAAGTACGATTGGTCGGGTAAACAAACTG